GGGATTGCCAATTGTGACTTTCCCAGCTGCTTTCCAACAAGTGGAATCGGTGGGGGGGGGAGCCAAGTTCGCTTAGCAACTGCACGATTCGCTTAATGACCGCAGCTATACACTGAATGACGTTAACACCCTATAGGATAAAAAGCTCCCTTCACCGCTGCCTCGCAGAGTGGTGGAAATTTTGGGCTCAATTCTGGTTGTAAAACGAGGACTGCACCTCTACAGGGGAATCCTCGCCTTACCATGGTTCATTTAGCGACCGTTGGAAGTTATGACAGCACTGAAAAAAGTGACTTAGGACCCATTTTCACACTTTCGAGCATTGCACCACCACCCCACGCAATTCACATTCCAATGTTTGACAACTGACTCACACTTATGATGGTTGCTGTGTCCCGGAGTTCACGTGATTCCCCTTTTGTGACCTTCTGATGAGTAGAGTCCACGGGGAAGCCAGATTCACTTAACAACCATGTGAGTCACTTAACAACTGCAGCGGTTCACTTAACCCCGACTGTCAGGATTCTGGCAGTTACTCCAATTAAATCATGAGCCTTGAGCCTCACTCCCAAAACTAAAAAAGATTTATTAGAAGTTAACATTCTGCATCCGGCATTTACCTAGGTGTAGCCAACTCTGAGATACGTAATTCACTGTCACCCTTGATCCTGCTTCCCCACCCCTCCGGGTGTATCATCCAATGAAACACACCCATAGCCAAGAGTCATCAATCATGCTCTCCAATTAAGATTTTTGCCAGCAGAAGCTTCAGTCATCTAATCAGTGTTTGAAGAAAATATGAATGGAATGTACTTTCGATTCCACACTGCCACCTGCTCTTTGAAACTCCCCCCACCCCCTTCTTTCTGTTGACAGCTATAAAACGTGTATACAAAATGTTTTAGGAGTTGACACTGGCAAGATCGGTCATACAATGGGGCAAAATTCCCTTAACGAACGTCTCGCTTAGCAACAGAAATTTGTGGGTAGTCCTCGGTCTACAGATAGTCCTTGAGGACGACCTGGAGATCGTTTGCTTGGCTGTCCAGCTGTACAGTGAGATGGATTTGGGAGTTTATCGTCCACCTTTGTCCACAGGCTACCGGTCGGTGCCGTTGAAGAACAGCTACAGTGAGGATCTGGAGTTGGCTTCTCTGCTGCTCCACATTGAAATCATCAACGCCAAGGTGAGTTTTGGGGTCCTTCCAGAAAAGGCATCAGGCGTGGCAGCCTCCGAGTCGGAGGCCGGACAGGGTCGGGCTGGCGTGTCCTGAAAAAGGAGACCACAGGAGGATTGTAGTTGTTTTGACCGAGGCTTCCCAAGATCACGAAGCCGACTCCTCATTCCAGTAAGACTCCTTTTATTTAGTTTAAAGTGAATTCCTCTCCAGCAAAACAGCCTTTCATGAGATTTCACAACTACAGACCTTTATTAGGCTTGGAGAGTTGCCGGGCCGATATCTTCCAGACGCCACGCTGTAGCAGCAATGACTTGGCAAGAAGTCAGCAACAAATCTTCACACTAATCAAACGAACTAATTGTCTCCTGCAAACACCACTCCCCTTTCACTCCTCTTGATTCCCTCTGGGAGAGCCCATTCACCATCTACCTGTGGCTTTACTCCTGAGTCGACCCTTGTTCCTTAGCTGTTCCCTTCCTCTGGCAGCTCTGCGCGTGCGCACACTGGGAACAGGCTCCAGCCGTTCTTCTTCCCCACTGATCTCCAACTCCAAAGGGAGCTGATAACTATCGGATGGCCCTGGCCCCATCTCTGCTTCTGACACAGAGCCCTCGTCCGAGCCTTCCCCAGACTCCAGGACTGGCCCATGTTCCTCTCCAACCTCCTCACTGTCCGACTCTGCAACCAGCTCCGCTGGCGGGCCGCTAGAACATCTGACAAGGTTCCCTTCCAGGTCTGGGCAAGACGCAAACCAAGGAAGACCTAGCCACCTGGAAGTACTTTTCTCTCTCTTGCAGGAAGAAGACGACGAGAACTTGTATTCCTCCATCCAGCAACTCCGGGACCGGGCGAACGAGCTCTCCAACCAGGTGTCCAACCTGGAGCACAGCAACAGTTGCGACGTGCGTTACCAGCAACAGCTGGATGAGCTGAGGTTGGCTCAGGAGCAACTCATGGAGCTGACCGAAGCACGCAATAGGAAGTGAGTGGCCGCCGGCAGTCTTTCTGGGGGTAAATTTACCAAGAGGGTCTGTGGTGGCTTCTCCGTCGCTCTGCTTTCTAGGAGGGGTGGGTAACTTTCGCCCAATTAGCAACCCGCCAAGAGGCTGGGAGAGAAGAGGAATCGGACGGGGGAATAATGCATCAAAGGGCCCTTGGTGGTTTTCCTGCAAATGTCTCAATAGCCAAGTAGGTAACATCATCCATACCAGCAGGAGGAGGGCTTGCAGGGAGGAGGAGGAGGAGGAGGAGGAAGAGGAAGAGGAAGAGGAGGAGGACTGAGGGGTCCTTGGTGCTCTCTGAGCTTGGTGGTTTTCTTACAAACGTCTCATTATCCAACTAGGTAGTATCTTCAGTACTAGAAGGAAGTGGGGTTTGCGAGGAGGAGGAGGAGAACTGAGGGGTCCTTGGTGAGAAGAAGAGAGAAACTCACTAACAATGCTCTTGGAGCAGGGGATTGGACTAGATAACCTCCGAGGTCCCTTCCAGCCCTGGATTGTTGTTTCAAAGCATCCTCTGAAGCTGCATTTAGTGCCAGGGTTCCTTCCTTCCTTCCCGACTTTCTTTCTCCCATCCCTCCCTTTCTTTTTTCTTTCTTCCCTCCTTTTTTCTTTCTCCCATCCCTCCCTCCCTTTTTTCTTTCATTCTCCCTTCCCTCTTTCCTTTTTTTCTCCCCTCCCTTCCTTTCTCCCATCCCTCTCCTTCTTTCTTTTTTCTTTCTCCCTTCCCTTTTTTCTCCC